CGATCCTGTAGGGCCTCCCCCACGGGTCCCTGTCCAGGGAGGAGATTAGCTTGTGTGCAACCCCTAATAAGCATTTAGCTCAAGTGTCTGTATCTATTATCATAACCTCAACAGTAAACTCGAGAATCTCGACTGTCTAACGAAATTCATTATCTTGATTCTCTAGCAATGTAAAAAGCATAAAAATCAATTCAGTCGAGATTCTCGAGTCTATCACTGAGGTTATAACAATAAATATAAGTACTTGAGTTCTTAAATATAGTACTTTAAATATAAGTACGCTGATTTTAGAAAATAATTTTATAAAAATTAGCGATCTCCGGATATATCGTAGTTCTCTAATTAACATTTCATACCTTAGTATTTCTTTTTAAATTCTTGATAAAAAAGTAGTTTTCGTAGTTTTAAAAGTAGTTTTCATTAATACGAGATATAGCAACGTAACAGAACGCAATGATATATTAGGTTTCTTCTGTTTAGTTCAATGTATGCAACGTTTCCATTGGAGGATTCATAGGAAATATCACGGAAACAGCCGAATCATAAATAAGTATTACCTTAAGTATAACTTCGCGAAGATGATCTTATTTGAAATAAGAACAACTTAGACAAGAACTTCTTCGCGAAGACCGTCTTGTTTCGTCACTATGAAATGTACCAATCTTTAGGCGATCTTAATTGAATAAAACGATCTTCGCCAAGACAGTCTTAAGTACTGACTTGAGCTCGGACTATGAATACCGGCCTACCAATAGAAGAGCACAAAACGCTATTAATCCAACCAGGGATCGAAAACTCCCATATATTTAGTTGTAATCGCCGTAACGCTCGCCCTCTGTAGGTGCAACCTATCACTAACCTTCGATAGCGCGGCGTTTAAACCCATTTTTATATGGAAATTGAAATGATTTCTTTTTTATATATAATTAATGATCTCAATAAAATTGTTTACCATTAAATAAATGATTCTTAAGATTAATAACTATTTATTTAGAGTTTCTATGTGTTATTGTGACAGCGGGGATAAACGTGATTGAAATATTTTTGAATAAAAAACAAATTTTAGGATTATTTCTATCAAACATAAAAAGTAATTATATAATTACCTTTTATGTTAAATAAAATATTGCACAATTATATAATTACTTTTATATTTGATAAAAATAATCCCAAAATTTTTTTTATTCAAAAATATTGCAATGTAACGTTTATCCCCACTATCACAATAATACAAAGTAACCTAAATTAATGGTTATGAATCTTAGGAATCATTTATTTAATGATAAACAATTCTATTGAGTTCATTAATTTTATTTAGAAAATAAATCAATTAGATTTTATTATTATTTACTAATTATTATTAATTTATTATTAATTCTTAACTTACCTTATTATTATTTATTTTTGTTAATAATTACTAATATTGTTA